CAAAAAACTCAGAATAGCTAAAATAATCCTGTACAAGCTCTACTACAGAGCTATAGAAATAATAACAGTTTGGTATTGGCATAAAAACAGACACATGGATCAGTGGAATCAAACTGAAGACCCTGACATAAATTCACACACCTATGAATACATGATTTTTGACATATATATATATATATATATATATATATATATATATATATATATATATATATAATGGAAAAAAGAAAGCATCTTCAACAAATGGTGCTGGCATAAGTGGACATCAATATGTAGAAGATTGCAAATAGGTCCATATCTGTTGCCATGCACAAAACTCAAGTCCAAGTGGATCAAAGACCTCAACATAAATCCAGTTACACTGAACCTGATAGAAGAGAAAGTGGGAAATAGCCTCGAGAGCATTGGCACAAGAGACCACTCCTTAAATATAACACCAGTAGCATAGATACTGAGAGCAGCAATTAATAAATGGGACCTCCTGAAACTGAAAAGCTTCTGTAAGGCAAAGGACACCATCAATAAGAGAAAACACCAGGTTACAGAATGGGAAAAGATCTTCACCAACGCCACATCTGACAGAGGGCTGATTTCCAAAATATGTAAAGAACTCAAGAAGTTAAATATCAAAATACCAATTAATCCAATTTTAAAAATGGGGTCCAGATTTAAACAATTTTTCAACAAAAGAATCTCAAATGGCGGAGATATACTTAAAAAATCGTTCAACATCCTTAGCTATCGGGGAAGTGCAAATCAAAATGACTCTGAGATACCATCTTATACCTTCCAGAATGGCGGAGATCAAAAATGCTAATGACAGCCTATGTTGGAGAGGATATGGAGTAAGGGGACCACTCCTTCACTGCTGGTGGGAGTGCAAACTTGTTCAGCCACTTTGACAATCAGTATGGCAGTTTTTCAGAAAATTGGGAATCAATCTACTTCAAGACCCAGTGATACCAATCTTGGGTATATTATGATAGGATACACAATCATACCACAGGGACACTCAACAGCATTATTTGTAATAGCCAAAACCTGGAAACAACCTATATACCCCTCAACCAAAGAATGGATAAAGAAAATGTGGTACATTTATACAATGGAGTATTACTCAGTGGTAAAAATAAATAAATAAATTAAACAAACAAACAAACAAACAAACAATGGCATCATGAAATTTGCAGCCAAATGGATGGAACTAGAAAAAATCATCCTGATTGAGGTAACCCAGACCCAGGAAGACAAATACAGTATGTACTCACTCATAAATGTATAGTAGATGTAAAGCAAAGGACAACCAGGTTACAGTCCACAGCCCTAGAGAAGCTAGGTAACATCCCTAAGAGAGATGCATGGATCTCCCTGGGGAGGGGAAATAGATGAGATCTCCTGTGTAAACTGGGGGCAGGGAGAGTAGAGGGGAAGGGATGGGCATGGGAACATAAGGGATCAGGATGGTTGAGTTGGGGGAGAGGTGGAGAGGGAGAGCAATTGAAAGAGATATCTTAACAGAAGGGGCCATTATGGGGTTAGGGAGAAACCTGGTGCCAGGGAAACCTCTCAGGAAACCACAAGGATGACCCCAGCTAAGACTCCTAACAATAGTGGAAAGGGTGCCTGAACTGGCCTTCTCCTGTAATCAGATTGGTGACTACCCTAATTGTCATTATAGAACTTTCATCCAGTAACTGATGGAAGCAGATGTAGAGATCCACAGCCAAGCACTGAGCTGAGTTCTGGGATCCCAGTTGAAGAGAGGGAGGAGGGGTGATATAAGCAAGGGGGGGTCAAGATCATGACCAGGAAACCCACAGAAATAGCTGACCTGAGCTCATGGGAGCTCACAGACTCTAGACCGACAGCTAATGAGCCTGCATGATACCTATCTAGACCCTCTGCATGTGGGTGATAGTTGTGTAGCTTGTTCTGTTTTTGGGGCCCCTAGCAGTGGGACCAGGATCTGTCACTGGCACATGAGCTGACCTTTTGGAACCTATTCCCTATAGTGGGATGCCTCACTCAGCCTTGATGCAGGGGGGAGGAGCTTGGCCCTGCCTCAACTTGAATGCCATGACTCCCAGGGGAGGCCTTACCCTTTCTGAATGGAGAAGGAGGAGGAAAGGATGGGGGTGTGGAGAATGGAGGTGGGGGAGGGAACAAAGGAGAGGAAGGAGGGGTAACTGTAGTTGGTATGTAAAATAAATTTAAAAAATTAATAAAAACTGAAAAAGCTGTCTCCAGATTTAAAAAAAAAAAGACTCAAGGGACTGGTTAAGATTGAAAGGGGAGACTATCTCTCATGCTGTGTATATACAGGGTATACAAAGGCAATGGTCTAAGGAATCTCATAGCTTTAGAAAAGGCTCTCATAGGTCACAAGATTCTACCAGGCATACAAGTGTATGTGTGCATGCTGACACCTTGAAAACTGGGGTTTCTGGGTCATTCTGGAAGAACAATGTTTATTCAGTATTGGATAGAGAACTCAAGACTCCTGAGATCAGCACACCCCTTTGTTTTTATTTAGCAAACTAAATTTGGAGATTCCTTTAAAGTGTTAATAAAGAAAGAAACAGTAGTAACCATAGAAACACAGCATTGATCAATTCCGCTGGCAAACAGGCACCTTCTGTGGAATGATTTGACCTACTGTAGCAAGTGTTTCTGCCTGAAGATCTGTCTCCTATAGGTCTGAACTATTCCAAACCATGGGAATCCACTAAGGTAACAGGCAACCCACTTAATAACAAGCATAACAAATTTTATTAAAAGTTAAAGTATATTCGGTACAAAGAAATGCCAGGGGAAAAAAAAACAGTGGCAACTACTGACCAAATCATCCACAGTGAATGGTGAGAGTCACACCCCAGGACAAGATCAATCCTGAGACTATAAAGCAAGAAAAACAGACAAGCGTTGGCCACTGACTCTTTGCCAAGCTCTCATGCGTGCGCGTGTGCGCGCACGCGCGCGCGTGCACACACACACACACACACACAGAGCGCTAATGTACTACATGATCATGGTAGGAAAGTTGAAACATAATGAGAATCAGAAGAAAAGCAAACATCACCCATTTTACTGTGAGGAAAACCAGTTGCACAAGTTTGTGTATTCCTCTTCCCTTCACATAGCGTTTGACACAATTAAATTTATAGCAGATTTCTCGGGCTGGGGAGGTGTTACAGGGGATGAAGCAGTCATGATGAAAGTGTGAGGAGCAGACTTCAAACCCCCCAGAAATCATGTAAAGCTGAAGCAGTCATCTAATTATTCTTTATTAATAAAAACTTGGGAGCCAGATGTCAGAGTAAGAATCTGGTTGGTCATCAAAGTGGTAGGGAAGTGACCAGTGACCTCCTTTCTCTCCTTCCTAGGTACAAAAGGGCTGAGAGTCTTCCTAAACCCCTCCCTACTACTTCCTATGTCTCTCTATATGTCCTTGGTCCTCCAAAACTTCTATGGCTAATTTTCGTCAGCTAGTAGCTAGCTCTGCCCTCTGATTCAAAGTCAACTTTATTGTCTGTCACGGGAGTGTCACAGTGCCATCAAAATATCCCACAACATAAAACCATACATGGAAGCATCCGTCTGTAATCCCAGCACTCCTGCAGTGAGTTGGGAGGTAGAGACAGGACAATCCCCAGAAACTGGAGTTCAGCTAGCATGGCTGTATGCAGTGGTGCCCAACAAGAGATTCTGTCTCATGTGAAGTTGTAGACAAGGACTGTCACCCGAGGTTTTCCTCCGGCCTTCATATGTGTGCCACGGAATGCACACAAGCATGTGCGCGCACACACGCGCATACACACACACACACACACACACACACACACACACACACACACACATACACACACACACACACACACACACAGAGGCACATACACACACATTACAATAAAGAATAACACAGATTTCTTGGTCCTGAACACTTTCCTTCATCATCAACAAGAACCTAGGGTTAGTCTATTCCTTTACTACTTATTTCTCACAAGTGCCTGGACAGTGTCTGACTCTGTGAACACCTGAGAAATCCTTGCCTGTTGTGTGGGTGTGGCTGCTATACTAGTCAGCTCATGTGCACTCATTTGAAACATCCCTATTTATTAAAATGTAAAAGTTTTGTTAGAATCTCCCTTTTTCCCCCCTTAAGACTAGTTTTTAGACATCAAATTGCTGAATTAAAATTCTAGACCTTTCTAAATTCATACCACAGATTGACAGCATGGGGACCTCTTCCACACAAAACTGGAGTTGCTGTTTTAAATGGCATCTTAAATATTACATACAAAATGATCTATGTTTGTATAACTAGCATGCATAATGTATATAAAGTTTATATATCTGTATATATAAACTAATTTTTTTTGTTTTTTTGAGACAGGGTCTCTCTATATAGCCCTGGCTGTCCTTGAACTCACTATGTAGATCAGGTTAGCCTCAAACTCACAAAGACTCACTGGGCCAACTACTTTTTACTTAAAAATATTTATTATATTTTAAAAAATTACATTGTAGAGAAAGTGTTAGTAATAAAATGAATAGTTATCCAGCATGTCTTTCTCTACCTAGTATCCTGTCCATCTGAGACAATTTCAACCACTTTCATTTTTATTTTCTCTGGTATTAACTCCGTGTTACTAAATAATATAAATGTAGTCTTGTCGCCTGAGCTTCCTCTATGACCGATGGCTTAGCATGTTTACATATGTTACTTTATCTTTTCCCCTCTTCTCTGAGCACTGGATACTTTGCAGGTACTTCTCTTCTGTTTTGATTTCCTCTGTGAATTAAAAAAACTCACCCTAAATTGCCATTTTGTAGATCATCAAACTTCAACAATGTGATTTGATTCTTTGGCCTATAGCAGAAATGTGCTTTCTCTATCCCTTGCTGTGGCTCAAACTTCTACCTCTGATAGACATCATTTTGCATGACCAAAGCTAACACTGTGCACATTTTGACTTGTGATTAAGCATTTCAAGACTCACATGCAGATGGCATCTCATTGTATTTAGGTGGCTGGTACTCCTGACTTGGTAGCTGTGTTCATTACAGAGCCAGAATAGTCTCCTGCTCCAAAGACAGCGCTGTTCCCACTGAAAGAGAAAGGCCAGCATAAGTGAGGACAAACAGATTCTCTCTGAATTTCACCCATTGCTCAAAATGAGAAATATTTGATGGGATTCATTGATGAGGCTGTATTAACACCGACTTGTGTTTGTAGGGAAGTTCTTAAGGATTTAATACCTTTATTAATTACAGGACAGATCTGATTTCCTATTTTTTCTTCTGAGAGTTTTGAAAAGTCTTGGTTTTCTAGAAATTTGTCCATTTAATCTTGGTTTTCAAAATTTCTGTATAACTTTTTCCACAGTGAAATAATAACTTCTGTGATATTTTAAATGATGTCTCCAAACTGCTTAAGCAGTGATAATGGGTCAAGTCTATTTGCTTGGTCAGTCTTCATAAATACTTACATTTTAATAAGTATTTTTCAGAAATGGAATTGCCAGATTACCAGATTACTGGGCACAATATGTTCTGTTTGTTGATGTACCAGTTTTTGAAAGTGGCCTTTGCTAACTGTGATGGTTAGATTTAATTTTCAACTTGACTCAACTTAGAATCACCTGGGAAGTGAGTCTCAATGAGGGATTGTTATATATTGGTTTGGCTGGTAGGCATGTATGCAGAGTTTTAATTGATTTAACTGATGTAGGAAGACCCAGCCCACTGTGGGTGGCACTATTCCCTTGGCATGAGGTCCAGAACTGTATATGAATGAAGAAATCAAGTGGAGCACAAGTTAGCAACAAGCAAGCAGATCAGCATGCATGCCTTTCTTTCTCTCTGCTCTTGACTGTGAATGTATTGTGACTGGGTGTCTGCAGCTCCTGCCTTGACTTCCCCACAATGATGGACTATAACCTGGAATTGTAAGCTGAAATAACTGTCTTTCTTCCCTAAGTTGCCTTTTGTCTAGGTATTTTATCACTGTAGCAGAAACGAAACTAGCACATGAGCTTACAAGAATTTGAAATTCCAGTTTGCAGGTGACTGTGCCCAAACCTAGCGGTCAATCTTTTCACATCAGTGACTCTGATGGGTGTGCTGGTGATGATGTGATTCAGCATCAGTGTGATAGCAACTTCCAGTATCTGCTCCTCTGTCTATGTAACGTTTATAAACCTTCTTTGTAAAATATCTGCTTTTTAATTTTGCTATTTATATATTAACCATTCTTTTTTTAAACAACAATTCTTTACATATCTTAGTTATGTGTCCTTTTATGGTTACATAGATTATCAAAGCCATCTGCTTCTTGCCTTACCTTGCCTTTCAAGTATTATTTGACAGTTTTCTAATTTTATGTGCTCTTATTTATCAACTGTGATTTGTTTGTGTGCTTGTGGATTGGTTTTATTTCTGCATCCAGGGCTTTCTACACCTTTCTCTACCACACAGCATTAGGGTTTCTTTCCTGTGTTTTATTCCAGTGGTTTCTGTCTTTCAGATTCAGATACATGATTTGCTTGCAATTGATTTCTTTTTGCAATATAGACATTCATCTGATCCAGCATCAGTAATGGGAAAGACAGTCTTGTTTAATTCCCTTGTTGTCAACTTGAACATAAATCAAATGGCTGCATTTGGGTCTGTTTTTGCACTTCTGTTATGCTTCTCTTGTAGATGTATCTTTCCTTGTGCAAGGCACACAACGAATTCATCATTATCATCTTGTAATTAGCACTGGCAAATAATTGGGTGGGTTCTTCAAAGCAGCTTTTATTTAAGGCTATCTTGGCCATTTTTAGACTCTCGTATTTCTGTTTAGATTTTACAGTCAGCTTTTTGATGTACACTTTGCTCTCTTCAAATGTCTGGTCAGATTGTAATTGACAATATATTTACTCTATAGAACAACTTGTGGAGATGTGGCCGACTGTTAATTAGTCCTCCACGTATGACTGGTGTAGGTCTATGTAGGCTTTCTTTAATTTAGTCCCATCTACTGTAATTTTCTAAATAGAGGTCTTGCACATTTTTCATGAGATGCAATGCTAGATATTTGATAACGTTTTTTCAATTATTGATGTATTTTGTGTTTAAGGACAACTTGCAGAAGTCAGTGCTCTCCTTCCACTGTGTGGGTTCTTGGGATTGAAGTCATGTTGTCAGGCTTGGCAATAAGTACCTCACTGGCCCAATATTTGACAATTTTTGATGCCATTACAGATTATATAATTAATTTTTCATTTTAAATTCTTTTTTTACTGTTGCTAGTATATAGAAATACAAAAGATTGCCCCTTTTCAATTCTAGGAATCAACCCAGAGTCTTACACATGCTAGGCAAGTTCTTTACCACTGTACCACACCCCAGACTGCAAGGTATTTGCACTGATAAGGTATTCAGTACACTTATGAATGATAATAGATTGTAAATTATTTTGAGTCTCCTGAACACAATGACAGCTTACTTCTTCCTTTCTAATCTAATTACTCATTTTCTTATCTTGTGAGCTAGGACCTCTATTTAATGTTCAAATAGTGGTGACATTAGACATCTTTGTCTGAATCTTGATCTCAGGAAAGCTAAGACGGAATAGCGTCACTTCTGGAAGTACCAACAGAATGCCCAAGTATTTGTCCTTCTTTGGTAGTTTCTGAAATCCAATTTTTTTTTCTCAAGCACCCAGAGACTGTCAGAAATTCCATTCTAAGGGCTGGGCACACGGTTCAGTTAGTAAAGTGCTTGTTATGCAAGGCTGAGGAAGACCTGAGGTCAGATCTCCAGCCCTATGGAAAGCCTGAGGAAGACCTGAGGTCAGATCTCCAGCCCTGTGGAAAGCCTGAGGAAGACCTGAGGTCAGATCTCCAGCCCTATGGAAAGCCTGAGGAAGACCTGAGGTCAGATCTCCAGCCCTATGGAAAGCCTGAGGAAGACCTGAGGTCAGATCTCCAGCCCTGTGGAAAGCCTAAGGAAGACCTGAGGTCAGATCTCCAGCCCTGTGGAAAGCCTAAGGAAGACCTGAGGTCAGATCTCCAGCCCTATGGAAAGCCTGAGGAAGACCTGAGGCCAGATCTCCAGCCCTGTGGAAAGTCAGGCACAGTGACACCCACTGCTCCTAGGGGAAGAAGACAGGCAGATCCTTGGAGCTCATTGGCCAGCCAGTCTAACCAATCAATGAACTCCAGGTTCAGTAAGTGACCGTGTCTCAAAATACAAGGTGGAGAGTGTCTCAAAAAATAACATCTTGCCGGGCGGTGGTGGCGCACGCCTTTAATCCCAGCACTCGGGAGGCAGAGCCAGGCGGATCTCTGTGAGTTCGAGGCCAGCCTGGACTGCCAAGTGAGTTCCAGGAAAGGCGCAAAGCTACACAGAGAAACCCTGTCTCGAAAAACCAAAAAAAAAAAAAAAAAAAAAAAAAAAAAAAAAAAAAAAATAACATCTGACACGTCCATGTGCATATACCCCCCCACACAAGAATACACATGGAGAGACAGAGACAGAGAGACAGAGACAAGGAGCAACTTTATGTTTAAACTGTTTCTTATTAGTTATTAAGTTTTGCCTGCTCAAGATTAAATAAATACTTTACAGATAACATTTGACGCCAAAATTTTGTGTTTGTTTGTTTTTCAATCTCTTTTTTCCTGGGATATTGGTCCTTTGGGTCCTGGCTGCTTCAGTGAAAGCTTTAGTCAGCCGCAGAAACCAAACTTTCCTCAAAGGTTAGAAGAGAACTTTCTGGGACTTGTAGGATGGCCTCTCTGCTTACGATGGCTTTTTTTTTTTAATCACCATTTTTAAAAGTTGAAGCAAACTCAAGGTTTTTCTTAATTTACCATCACAAACTCTAAACACAGCTCCTGTGGAGCGCCTGCTTGAGATAGTAGATATTCATATCTTAGACACAGTGAGTCTCACCAGACTGGCTATTGTCAAGGTAACTGTTAGCTTGGATGGAAGATCATTGCACTGAATCATTTTCTCTTTATTATTTGTGACCAGCTAATCATCCCTCCATTGCACAGCTTGAGAGGTGCTGGGTTGAAAAACCTGAAACAAAAGCTTTGGAAGGCTTTCGGGTCCACAAGAGCCATGGCCATGGTCTTCACACATTTTATTTAGGAAAAATGACTTTTAAAAATTAAGCTTTGAAAGCAGCCACAGGGGAAAAGCAGCTCATTTTTTCAGTAACCATTCCCAGGGGTTAAAACTTCAAACCAGACCTCGAAAGCAGTCAGACACCGTGAGTCTCCAGCTGGAGGGTTCTATTACGTTTGTCAAGGTTGGTGTCCATCTGGAGGGTCTGGGTCTTACAGCCACCAGTACGGTCTGATATGTGGCTCAGCAGGGGAGGCTTATACTTAGGAATCTGAACTACCGTCTTTTTAATCTCCAAGATATAAAACTTAGAGTTGATTATAAAACACTCCTTTAAAAATGTTGTGTAGGTTTGCATGCAAAGGGTCCCTCCATATGCACCTGTATTGGACACTTTGTTTCCAGGTGGTGGATCTGTTCTACGAGGTTATGGAACCTTTGGGAAGTAGAGCCTTGCTGGAGGAAGTGGGTTACTGCGGGGCAGGGCTTGAAGTTTATAGACCTTTTCCCACTTCCTTTCCTGTGTCTGTTTCCTGTTCTGTGACATGAGGGAGGCAGTGAGTCCCATGTACACTCCCTCCACATGGAGGAGTCTACTGCCTGCCTTCCTTGCTGTGATAGATTGAATCCCTTTAAAGGATGTCCTTTCTTTCTCAAGTCGCCTCTTTAAGCTTTTTATTTTTTATTTTTTTTAATCACAGGGGGATGAGAAAAGCCACTAATACAAATGTCTTTTAAAGGTTTGAAAAAAGAGAGTCTTCCAACACTCCTGTTTAGTGAATGTCAGTGTGCTATTTATCAACGGCTAAGTTAGGGGCTGATTTCTTCATCTCTACCCTGCCATATAAGACTGTTTTAGAAAGAAAATTGATAAAAATCAAATGTGACTGAGTAACAAATGGATTCATTATAGCGAAAGTGAATACATGTCTGTATTTTAGAATAGATAATTTAAGTCAAACAGGACAGTATGAAATTAACATTT